ACTTAATCAACGACAATTGTTATTATTGCATGTGTACCAACTTTAACTTTTATTTTTTTATTAACAAAGCCATGTTCAGCTTCTAAAATGGGGGTAATAAACACCCAAAAAGAAGATATGAAGCATTGATTAGGCATTTCTTTTTTGACTACATGGAAAAAAAGAAAAAAGGAAAAGAAAAGAAAAGAAGTGCAAGTAATGAAATGACAATGTGGGAGTTTGAAGCTTTCCGGTCATTAAAATAAAAAAAAAAAAGAAAAAATGAAAAAAAAAGAAACCCCTTCCCAAAATCCCAGGTAACCTCCCCCTGCCTTTTGTAGTAACTTCATTAATGTTACACCATTAATACACATCCCGTCTTTCCAATTAAGGTGTACAGTAATAATTCTAAAAATGAATTCAATATTTGACCATTTAAATGTACTTGATGGTAAAACATTAATTTTTATTGTAAATAATTTTTTTAAATTTAATAATAATGTTAATGTTTATCTGTTTTAAAAGAAAAATAATAAAAAAATACATTAATTTATATTTTAAAAATTAATAGGTGTTTATCGAGCTCTGCGGGTCAAGTAACATTAGCTACCTCACGATGCACTCCCTTCTCTCTTTGAGTTCGGATTCGATCCGTCCTTTATCAACCTTTTCAAAAAAAAAAAAAATTAATAGGTGTTTAGTAGTTTTTGAATAATATTTTTTTTAATTTTTAAGAGATAAAGTGAATGAATATTATTTTTTTAATAATTAATGTTTTGAATAATTTATTAATACAGTTAAAATTGTAAATAAAAAAAAAATTCCCCAAAATTAATTCAGAAATTTTTATAGTTGGTAAGAAAAAAACAAAGAGAGCAGAATGAGTAGCTTGTTCTTGTGGGATTGAGTATAATTATGGTCTGAAAGTCAATAGGAGGAAAAGGGAAAAGAGGCAACGGGAAGTGTGCAACGTTGATGTATGAGACAAAGGAAATTTATGATTGGGACCACCAGAGAGACCAACAGCACAGAGAGACCACAGCACAGGGGAGAAGTTCCAGTGGGGTGAATGGGGGGGCACCCAATCATTTTCTCCTTTACCTCATCGGAAACGATGACTCAACTCTCTGCTGCACCCGCAGGCAGGCAGGCTGCAGAAGAAGTAGAGTCCTTTCTTTTTCCTTTTCTTTTCTTTTCTCCAGAATCAGATGATTTTCCTCTTTCACGTCTTTTCACAAAGGCCAAAACTCTGCTTTTTTTTTTTTTTTTTTTCTCTCATCCGTCGTAACCAAACATCTCACCGGAAATGGAAATTTTGATTTGATCTCTCTCAAGTAAAGTTAAAGTGTCTACTATCGATTTTTTTAAATAAAAAAAAAAAACAAAGAAAAGAAAAAAAGGGACATCCCCACTAGTATTTTGTTCACCTGTGATGCGATGCCTGACTAAAGTAAAAGCAGGAGTGGAAGAAGCAAAAAGGGTTTTGCACGTGGTAAAAGTCCGCTTCTTGCTAAACTTGCCGACGTCGTTCAAGAGTATGGTTGATGCATTTCGAGCTTAATTTATTTAAATTTAAACATGTTTCAAGCTTCTTCTTTTTTTTTAAAAAAAAATGAATATACAAGTTTAAAGTTTAAATACACTTAATAAAGATTTAATTGCTTTAATCTTTTGTATTTTATATTTATTTTTGAGAAAAAGAAAAAAGTAAGACGTTTTAAGATTAAAAATATTAAGATTAATTTTATCAACTTTATCATATAATTATTATTAAATATTATAACATTAATAATGTTAAAATATTTAATTACAA